ATAATTAAACATAATAAAAACAATGAAGTAAAAACAAATCAATAAAACCATAAAATAGAGGAATAAATCAATAAAATCAATACAAACCAAACAGTGTTGCTCAACAGTAACTGAAAATCATTGTAACTATGAGCAGGGTCATCTCCAAAGGTCTGACCTGTAAATTAGCCTTGAGTTTAGAAATTAATTTAGGTCAGTTTGTAACATAATGTCGTTTTCTAACATAATATTATTTGACCAAGAATTGCAGCATTTGCAGTTTAAAGGACACAAGTAAACTGTGTGTTTTTCCTGTTTCTAAGTAACACAAACTCACTTGTCACTGTCCTTGGAGGTGGGTGGACACTAGAGACTCCCTAAGACGGAAACGTAAGAAATATTTGAGTGTGTCCAGTAAGCCTGGGTATCATTAAGAAGTTGCCATTACAATACATACCTCGATGCATAGGCCACTATATGGTACTTGATACAGTGAACTTTCGATTCGATAGGGCTCAATAAAAATAACGGCTAAATCATGGCTGTGATACTAAAAGTCTTTACTAAACCACTTCTTGTACAAAGTGAATATGAAACACAATCATTTTAATCATCAAAACAGTGAAAATATCAAATGTGTCACATAAATGAGTTTCCTTCCTCTAAACAAGCAACAAAACTGTAGCGCTGTGACCAAATAATTTAGTAAAATACTAAAACTACCAAAAAAATACTCTTAGCGATATATTGATACAGCAGCCCACAATATGGTGTAATATACTGTATTATCACATTAAACAATACGATATGTCAATATTTTGATATTTTTGTACATCCCTAGTGTTCAGTAAATAATATATGTACTGTAGAATATAATATATATAGGCCTAATGTGATATTGAATCCATTGAATAAATGTTACAAGAAAACAAAATGCTTTACTTTTCTTTAACGTTTCAATTTATTTTTTGGAGTTTATATTCACAAAAACAAAAGGGCTGCAAAGAAAGTTTCAGGAGGTTCTGCCAGTTTGCAGTATGTTTTCTCGGCTGTTGTGCCTCATAACTGTGTGTGATGAGACTGTACTTGAGAGGGGCAGCAGATCAGACTCAAGGCCGTCTCACTTGTGTTGGCTCAAGTCTCTTTTTGGAACAGGACTCTTTCTCCTCTTCCTCTCATGAGGGCCATAGCATTCACAGTCAAGATCAGGGCTCCCTCTGGTGGTGGTTCACTTCAGTGTGTGGATTAGAGATGCGCGGATGGGCTATTTTTCATCCGCAACCGCGACACAAAACTCATCATCCGCCCGCTGTCCATTTGCACCCAAGGTTTTGACCAATTTTCAAAACCGAACTCGCCCACCATCCGCCGATTGATTTTAGATTTTAGAACAATCATATAACAAACAAACTAAAGAGCCTCGATAAAAATGCAAACTCTATAGCTCATTCATTCCAAAATTCGCTCAACGTGCATGTTCGCATTCTTAATTGTCCGTAACAAAACGCCGCTCGTTGCTCAGGGTTTAACTCCCTGTCCGGAGCCTCACCGTGAGCGCGTGGGCTCAATAAACGCGCCACTTCGTTGCTCAAGAATCGTGGCTTTATTTGCCGTGATGCACTAAATAACAGGGCAATTGCTTCCTGACTCGCTTCGGTCGCCTTTTGACCGTTCATTTCACCATTTCACATACAGTAAAACATAGACACCCGTACGCTCCACGGGCCCATTCAAGAAGCGCGTGCCTCGGGGGCGCGCACGCAGTCACTCAGTCATGCTCACGCCACACGCCACTCTAAACATTGCACATAGGAGTAAAGACGCATATCTCACTTAACACTTAACAATATAGGCAATAATATATATATTTTTTAAATTTGAGTATTTAAACCGCCACCCGCCCGAATTTAATCAAAATATTATTTTTTGTTACGTCATCCGCCCGACCCGCGGTTTAGCCGTGAACACCGCGGCTGTAACCGCAATCCGCGCATCTCTAGTGTGGATGATACCATGGACAGCTTCCCATAAGACACACTCACCTCTCTGTGAAAGGGGAAATGATATTAGTGAAAAACTAAAGTCTGTTTTTTGTATTGCTCTTTTCTTATCAGGACATGATGGATCTGTGCTGACCCCGTTCTCTAGAACACATTTCTGGGCACACATATAGTAAGACATACACATGGAGGAAGGCACTGAGTGCATATTCGCTCCTTCTGTTCTCCATAATTACAATAAATGATATTTCAGTACAAATACATTAAAATGTCCTTCTACAACTTTGTGCCATTTCAACATTGCAATTTTATGTGACATGCAATAAATGAAATAAATACAACAGCACAATAAAAAACAGACACAGGGAGTTTCCCGCCGACTGCTAAGACTGTGGACAATTTCAGGTACATTTCAGTACGAATACAATTCTGTGTAATCCTACTACATTGTGCTTCTTCTACATGTAAAGTACAATTACTGAAATATGTAAAGTACAATTACTGAAATAAATGCAATAAAAGAGAGATGCAGGGATTATCCCACTGGCCTGCAAGACAGTGGACAAAGAACAATCTCCACAGAGATGTTTACAGAGCATGTGGTTACATTACATGATCATTTTGAGTTTGTTCAACATGTTGTATTCTTAAAACATAAACAGGAGACATAGGGAGTGTGTTCACTGACCATTAAGTCAGTGAACAAACCCAAATCTGCATCATTCACTCAAAGTTACAAATGTGTTTATTGTTTGTTTTTGTTTTCCTTTTCCCGTCCCAAGAGGAACTGTCAATGTGCAGTAACACCATCCAACGCAAAAACTACCAATACAACTCAATCAACCCCTCATTATATGATCTCTTTTTATGTAAAATGTACATTTCTGTAAAGATTTTAATTTAGAATCTGTTTTTTGCAATAATGGCCCTGGAACACTGGTGAATTTCGACACCCATAAACTAAAATGCTGCATTTTTCTCGAAAATGCTTCAGCAACTTTTTACTTTGTACTTCTCCAGAGAAAATTTGTCCCTTTTTACCAGATGTTAATCAGACCACAAAGAGAAAACACTAACTGAAAATCTTACCTTCTCTCAAATTAATACATTTCATAAACTTGAGGACTGATGCTACCCTTTGACCTGAATATTTTGTCCATAATAAACAGCTGCACATGGACAAAACTGTTAATATCATGTGGCATTTAGCTTATTTGATCCATATTTATCAATATTGCAGTTATTTACTTACCTCTGGGGAAGAGGTCCAGGTTGTGCCGGACCACGAGGCGGTGTGCCATGGTTCAGAGCTCTGTTCAAAATAAAGTCTTACTACAAGTGCTCCACTACTGAATCTGTGTTTTATCCACAGCTGTGAGCTGAGATGTGGCGCTTGGATCTTAAAGACAATTGATTATCACAATCCCGTACAGGGGTCCCACTCAAGCGTTCAAGTGAAAAGGTCACCTTGCAGTAGTTTATATAGGCCCCGCTGCTCCGTTGCTAGCACCAATGCACGGATGTTACTCTCACTGTTAAATGAGTTTAGGACAAACTCCTTCCTTTAGACAGAGGTGGGCTGAGGAGAAACAATGTATAAACGAACACTAAAAATCCATGATAAAAGCCTTGCCTGTGCCACCACTGCTCAATACTTGTCAAATATAAATTGTTGTTTGATAACTTGCATAAATCAGATGTAACCTTCTTTAAAATCATTCGTAATTCAGCTGCTGAACCATTGAGAAAGTTTGTGAAAGTTTGTTGTGCTCACTTCAGAGAAGACCTGCCGAGCCATGTGGTCCACAGCCAGAGAGTGTACTGTAGTCGTCCAAGATGTAGAACCTCATTTGGTCAATCATCATTCTCCTGTAGAGCCATAAGCCTCTGGAACAGCCTCCCACATGAAATTATATCATGTACAAATTATGAAATGTTTGCACACCTGACCAAACGATGGCTTTTAATCAAACAAACCTGTACACATGAATCTACCCTGTATCAATGCAGCAATATGAACTGTAAATATGTAAATAATATATCAGGGGTGTCTAAACTTTTTTCATCAAGGGCCACATATGTAAACACAGATGAAGCAGAGGGCCGATCGAGGGCCGTAGACTGGTGCTCAGTACAGGGAATAACTGAAATATGTACATGTTTAAACAGGTTAGAATGAGCAACCAGTTTTTATCCTTAAAACCACACACTAAATATTAAATATCAGCTTTATCAAGGTAGATTTTAAAAAGCCTTTTAAAAATATTTTTTAATTGATGCAAAGTAATTTGGGCAAATTCACCTGGAAGTATGAGGGCCAAGAAAAATGTGTCTGAGGGCCGCATTTGGCCCCCAGGCCATAGTTTGGACATGCCTGTAGTGTATGGATGTGGTGATAGAGACGGAATGGGACTAATTTTACTTGGATGAATGATTACATCAATATACATTGTATTTATTTGACTGGCATGTATGTCATTTATGACATCAACCTGTCCAGGGACTGAAGGTGGAAACCCGGCAGACACATGACTTCTTTGTGCAGTTCATTGTTTTTATGTGTATTATCCCTGATAAATAAACAAATAAACTAACTACACTAAAAGAACTTAATGCAAAAAACAGCACTTATTGAAAAATATATCCTAGAAGTATAGAGCAGTAATAAAAGGTTTTAACAAAGAAACCTAATACTCAAGTAAGAAAATAAATAAATAAATTGGGCTATTTTAATTAAAATTATATATATATATATATATATATATATATATATATATATATATATATATATATATATATATATATATATATATATATATATATATATATATATATATATATATATATATATACTTTCAGCTGTAACATATATTCTTATAACACAAGACTTGCAAGTAAGCACATTTTGGTACCTTATTCCTAAAAAAATGTTGGCAATAAGTTGAAAGACTAAAATTATCTTGAAATAAATCATAAAATCACTTGCATCAAAACACTTTTATAATGTAAAAAGACAGATTTCTCCAAGTGGGGGAGTTAAGACATTTTGTATACAGTTTGCTGTTGTCAAAGCTCCTCTTTACTTCGGTTGTCTTTTTTGGCTTCTTCTGCTCTCAGTGCATCCATGTATTTCCTTCTGTCTTCGTCTTCCTGCAGTAATAGCCAATACAACATAAGGTCATTTACAACACCAAAACACCAAAACAGGTCATCATAGATTCTGGTGGGTTAATTGCACATACCTTAACTCTTTCTTTTTTGGCTTTTTCCATTTCTTTATGTACAAACTTCACCAGGTTATTCAACTTGTGCTTACCATTATAAACTACCACCTGGAAGAAACACAAAAAACAAACAACCATAATGATTCCAATTAGTGATGTAACATTGTTTGGAAAATTCTTAGTATTTTAATCAATGGACTTTTACATTATCTCAAATATAGTTCTGACAGTTTTTTTGTTTTTTTTAAATAAAATAAAGAGTGCACACTAGTGTAGTTATTGCCAAACTGAGAAATGAGAGAGATTTAAAAATTTTCAAGTTCCCAGTGCCATTCAAAATGGAGGAGTGTATCATAAGGAGACTACTGTTAGTGGGCACATCAGTCCCACCTGCACTTTTATGTGAAGACACATAAAAGTGCAGGTAGGACTGATAAGAGCAGAGGTCAGCTCCACTGGTCAGTGGACAGCTCCTCATTCTCTCCTCCACACGGCACCCTAGGGATTTAATATTGTATGTGATATTTAGATTTGCCTCAGAATAAGTAGTCTCTCTAAAATATGGTGAAATTGAAAAATGTTACAAATATTATTTCTTTTAGATTTCTGTATAACATCAATTACCATTCCACTGTCAAATAAGATGCAAAATGATTCTATAATTGTATGCACAAAGTGACTGACCCTTTCAGCGTATAAAGCAGGGAAGAGGCAGAGTGAGGGGTACTGGCGATGCATAGACATGTTGATGTCATTGGCAGAGGCGTCGATACGAGCGATTACGACATTCTCCTGGTCCTTAAATGCCTCCGCTAACTCCTCCCACAGAGGGAACACAGCACGGGACTGTGGGCTGTACGGCAGGTCTACAACAAAATACTTTAAAGTTATATGCTGAGTAGAGTTATTGATAGGAATAACATTAAAAAAATTTAATTGATGAAGGTATTAGGGAAGGTCCACTTTCTAGTCAGAGCTGTTTAAACAACTGGTTGTGTTAAGAGGCCAAAAGTTTAAAGTTGGAAGACAGATACGAATTCAGTACTTGTTTTATTGCTAATATGTGCAGAATTACTGAGCCCATGCATATGACACTGACGTATTCAAAATTCTCTGTCAGCTCAAATGTACTTACTAAGTAATAGTTGAGTAATTATTAAAAAATATAAATCCCGTGAACAGTGAGAAGAGCAGGGGAGAAAGGACACAGCAACCTTAGATGATAGTCCAAGTGTCCAAGATATTTCATTTTAAAATAATGTTTTAAGTACATTTGTACATCCCCTGTGTACCATCTTTGGTTACGACATTTCAAAACATGCCTAGAATTGTGTTCAATGTAAAATCAGGATGTGTTTGATGCACTTATACACACAGAAGAGGACAAAGACGGTATTGTTTGGGTGAAAGGCCACTTTCTCTAGAGTGGACCCCACCAGCTGTTTCACCGGCTCCTGCTCCCACCCCTCTGGAACAGGCTCACTCTGCAGCTTTGGCTGTGGGTACAAAAATAGGGACTTCAAACTTTTGTACAGTGTCTCTGAATGTCTGAAAAGCATCATTTACAGTGACTACTGGAGAAATACAAGCTTTGCTAATAGATGTTCAACAAGAAATATTGAGACTAACCGATTGTACCTTCTATGGGTACATCTTATGATGTAAAATTAACTTAAACTTAAAATGATCATTTACCACATTATAATGGTATTTCGATTGATTCATGCATGTTTGAGTAATCCCGTATTGTTCTGCATGGCTTGAGCTGTTAAAAATCACCTCCCCTATTTCACATATTTGTAGTTTTTATTTGTTTTTGTTTTTTTGAGCAATCAAATGTGTATCGTAAGTGAAAATCCCCTGCTTGTTGAAAGCAGAAGAGAGTGTTGTCCCACTAAGGAGAAGTGCGTTTGGCAGGTCTCCCTCTCAGTGAAAGCGTGCAGGAGTGGAACCATTGACTGTATAAAGAAGTGGACTAAGGGAGTGTGACATCACCCATAGTGCTTGGCTCCAACCAAATGAAGCTCACAATGCTGGAGGTTACAGAGGCAGCTCTATATTAGGAATATGTATTTATAAATGGACAAAAAAGCAAAATAAAACTCCACGATCATGTAGAGTGGGTTAATACATACATTTTAAAACCAAAATGATAATGCTCACTGCAGCAGTTACAGAGAGAGGGGCCAGGGTCAGAAGGAGCCAGAATCGTGCCCATGCTCACTTCCTATTTGAAATGTGACTAGGGCGTTAACTATGTCCATTTATATATACAGTCTCCGAGAGGAACTCAGCAGCTGTGACCATCAGGGAAATGACTACACACAACCCATTTAAACCCACCTGAGGAAGTGTATTTTTAGTAATTAAACCTGTCAGGTTTCATAGAAATGTAATACCATGGTTACCTTGTTATGTGTTTTCTTTTATTATATCTGTATCTATGTATTCTAATATTGCCTTTGGTTTTAGGGTGACTTTTTATCATCGGTCCAGGGACAGTGAATGAAACATAGTAATTTAGACTAATTCTGGCATTTACAGAAATGTTTATTAATGTACATTATGCCTCACTATAAGTAGTAGAAGTAGAAGTATGTAGAAGATAGGGTCATCAAAAGTATTGAAAATCAGATACTAATCAATACTAAAACTAGTATCTGAACTAGATACTTATTTGAGCAGGTATCAACACTAAAAAAGTCACATTCACAGGACAGAAATGAACCTTTCCTGAATAGCTTTAGAATGATCTTGAGCTAAATTAGAACAAGTATCACATAGACTAATATACACCCAAGGACCACTATGGAACCTACCTGAAGCACTGAGGGATTACAGATATTAGACAACATGTTCATGTAGAAGAAAGTACTATTATTTAATGCTGAAAATCATATTCTATTGCCTATAGTGTTTTTTACTTTAATTATGGTATCGAATGGGTATTGGTATCAAGTCTTTCCTTAGAATCAATATTAAGTTTCAAATGTTAGTAATGTCACAGCAATAGTAGACGGTACCTTAGCACTGCCATTTAGAAAATCCTGGCAGAATCCACTGATAGTTTCCACATCCAGAGTGAGTGAAGGTAGGTGGTAGGTCACATGATCAGTCAGGTTTACTATTCTGACCAGAGGAGCCTCAAAGTCTCGCACTCTGAAGTACTCCATGACGCGGCCATTCCGGGACTCGTCCACGTTCACCAGGACAAACAAAATCTGGCATATAAATAAAGAATAAAAGCACTATTTCACTTCATAATTATCAGAGGTGGTTCAGATATAATTTAGTAATTTCTTGGCCCAGCACTTCATACTTCCACTTGAGCTTTATTATTCTGACATTACATTTCTCCTACTTGAGTAAACTTACTTTTAACCTGAAGGCTGCAGCAGAGCGGTTGAAGGCATCATATATCTTTTCATAATCTGGAGATGATTTACTAATGAATAAAAGTGCATGGTACAGAATGGGAGAGCTCAGGATCTGTGAAGCAGTCTGAAATAAAATACACATGGTTTTCATAATTTTTCAGCCATAAATATGAAAATAATAAACACAAAATAAAAGAAGTTATGTAAAGTTCTTTTTTTTTGCATTTTTATGTTAAAACATGGTTCACATCTTTTAACAATGATGGTACTTACGTATATGAATTAAGGCTGTGCAATTAATTGAATTTTGATCGCGATTTTCAATTTGTGTGTCAAACGGTCTCCAAACTCATATAATCCAGTTACAAGTAAAGCTTAACAAAGTTTATTTTGTTTTTTTAAATATAGAGGTTGTAGAACAGCTGGATATATAGTTTATTTTGGAAACATTTTTTGGAAACGTTTTTCAATGCTTTTCAAAGTATATTTTATTCATTTTATGTTTTGTACATAGCAAAACTGCTCTATGGTTTATATTTGTAGCCTATATTTATTTTTATTTTGAATGTTTGGTGTAAATTATGAATATATGAATTGTTTTGTGTTTTGTTTTGTTTTTTGAGAGAGAAATGCAGAAGAAATGCATCGTGTAACTAAAAAATAATTGTTTGAATAATGATTTCAATATTGACCAAAATAATCGTGATAATGATTTTTTCCATAATCAAGCAGCCCTAATATGAATCATCACAGATAGCGTACCTCTCTACTTAATTTTCAACCTGAATAATAATAGAAAAAAGTCAAAAGGAATGTAAAACTTGACCAAGTACCTAACAAGAGAATACACAAACAACCTCTTTCCATATGAATAAAAACATCCACTTTAAAAACTATACTAGTTTGCAACATATTTATTTAGTGCTGCGTGTACCTCGCCTGTGTACTCTGTGACTGGCTCCATCTGGAAGACGGTAATAAACAGAATGAGCTCCTCTTTAGTCGTCTCCGGTCTCATTCTGTAAGCCTGCATCAGCCTGGACTGCAACACACACAAAATGTAGTACTCATTATTATGTATAAATGTCAAAATATCACTCTATGGAATAATTAACTCACAAATAATTATCTAGTGCTATTTCATTATTGTATTAGTATAATCAATATTAGGAAACAGAATTTTAAAACATGAACACATTCTACTCTCTGCACTGAAACAAAGTGATAACATATTATGTTATACTCAACCTAATGCCCATCATTTAGTGAGCGTGTGAATGAGAGTGTGGGCAGTTATTTATTACATTGTGGACTGCCTCTCTTATGGGGACCACAAATCCAAATCAGGTCCCTGAGACTTAATCCTATTATTGGTACAACAGCATTATTTTAAGTTCAAGTAAAGATATTTAAAAAGGATACAGTTTGGTAGCAACTGTGCAACTGTGGTTAAGGTTAATATCAGTGTCCAGCAAATTATATCTGGCATTTGTCACACATGCTTCATGACCATTAATGCAAAGCTAAATGCAACATCATTTTATTTTGAACATTTAGTCTTTGATATTGTAAATAACAATTTTGGTATTCTCCTCAAACTGCCCTTACACGGGTCCACTGACCCTACCTGACCAGACCTCCTGTTAAACCACACTGAGACCTTTGACTGAGAAACAAAAGTAACTTAGAAGCGCAGTATGCTACTGCATCTATCTCCTGTATCTATCTATGTATGTATATGATATCTCTTACATCACTATCAGCTCATCTATGTTTTGTACCTTTTTGAGAACCAAGACGATGTTGTCATCCACAAGGCCATATTTACTGATGACGTCATCATTCTGGGTCAGGGTGAAGGTCAGGTCAGGAAGGTCCACTGCTGCCTCATAAAACACCTGGATGTATGTAGCATTCAGCTCCTATGAAGAAATGTAGTTAGCATGTGAAGAGTGAGAGCGCTACAGCCAGCTGAAGGACTCAACAGCACAGTGATTAGAAGGTAATAATAAACATGAGCATGGTGGTCGTCTGCAGCTGGTCAGTGAGGCCAGATGGACTAGGGTCAGAGGAACAGTGACAGACAGGGAGTATGAGGACAGAAGGGATTAGAATCAGACCAAAAAGAGTAAAAAACCTTTCTCACAGCAGCTAATTTTCATCATGTCTCCTTCAAATACAGAACACATCTCAAGAAAATGTTTGTATCATTCAGAACAAACTTCTCCTACCTGGGATAAATAAGAGTTTGGTTCTTTCATTGGTGATCCTGCAGAAATCCATGCTGTTTCTTAGTCCTCTGTGATAGTTTTTTTTTCTTTTCTTTTTTGTACTCGTAAGCAGGCATGTGCATGTTTTGAGCGGAACAGAACATAGCATCTGACTGGTAAATCTGCCTGTCAATCACGCCCTAATAGAGAAGACAGTTCTAGATGCATTCATCTGGTAACTTTTACAGGAGGCTCTATGTGCTGGGCTCCAAGCACATCATGTCACACTTTTCAATTAGTTGTAACAAAGACAAGACTATAGGGGCTGTCATAGAGGCATATGACAAGATATGTACTTGTATGTAGCCACGGAAATGCACACAAGGATTTAATCAAACCAGTGTGAAAGTCATGAAATTCTAATGTTTTTTACTTTAAAGAATCCAGCCACCAGCAGATCGTCTGATTGGATGTTGTCTGTGATGATGTCAGTAGGAGAGCCCGCCCTTCTCTTTAACCAGGTCAGAATGGAGGATGAGGTCTTAGGAACTACAATCAGAAAAAGTGGATATTATTTTACTCATATTAACATGTAACATTGAAAGACTTGAAGACACATTATTGACACATTAAACTAAAAGGCCTAAGCAGTAAATCTTTGCATAGGTGAAATACTTGTACAACTACTATCACTGCACAGCATTGTGGGTTGGATGGAAGTCAGTACTGAACAAACTAAAAGAAACACTGCCATGCAAAGAGACACACTTCAGTCTATTTTAGCAGAAATACAGACGATTTTGTTTTTGAAAAATGTGCAGAGGAAAGAGCTTTGTGCATTTGTGGACGGATAAGATGCATGTGCTTTTCTCTCAACTAAAGTTTGATTACTCAGCTTGTTCCACTGTTACTTCAACCAACATTCACCCAACAAGTCTTTGTTTGAGTACTCTGATCATTGGTTCCAATCAGTTTCAGTGAGAGCCGTCCAAGATTGACATGTGTAGAACCATTTCAGGATAGGGCTAATGCCATTGCTAAAGTCCCAGTAGTTTGTTGGTGTGTATAACTTACCAGGACATGGTACAGGATTGTGCTCGTCTCCGGACAGGTACAGTCTTATAAAGGGGGGTGCAGTGGCGTTTAAGTCTTTAGCCAGCTCCTTCTCCTGTACCGTATCCACCATGGCAAACCTGACCTCTGACCCCTGGAGCTCTGTGGCTGCTTCCTGAAAAATCTCTGACACTTTTTGGCCATCTGCAGTCATAGGGATGTCTAGAGAAAACACAATATGATCAGTGTTTTTATAGGTCATTACATTACATACATTATAGCGAATAATGTTATGATGTTCAGTATCCAAAATATACTTGGAGAAGTGGACTCAAGTCAAACAAAGAATTATGGATGAATTATGCATTATACTGTAGTCCTATACCTTTTTGTAGTGATGGAAAAAGTTACATTTCAATGCAAAATAGTTGTTGTTAGAGTTGTTATGTGTGATGCCTCCTCCAGGTCCATCAGCTGACTGAAAACAATGGACATAATTTCCTCTTCTTTTAGTGACCTCACATCTCACTTTAAAAAGAGATTGCCATTGTTTAAAGCTAACAAGTTATAAGCATGGATTTATGGTTAAAACTGTGACAGAAAGTGTGAGTTTGAGGTAAGAAGCTAGGCTCAGTCCTATGCTGTGGTTATAGATTATGACTATTTTGACACAGTTTGTGGTTAAACATATGCTTTTGGGAGGTAACTGTCTCTAGCTGTCAAAAACAAAGGTGAAAATCGGCTGTGAAGTTTTTACTCAAATGTTAATGCATGTTTGTAAAATATTGAGTTATATATGAGCTGAATCAGATTTTCTTTAATGAACAAATTTGACTGCAATATTGGTCTGAAATTAGTACAACTCTGACTGCAATTAGTAAGAATGAATTTATTTTTAATAAAGCATACTTCCTAACTTTTCACACCAAGTATCACCTCCTAAAACACAAGACAAAAATTGTATCGGAACTGCAATGTAAATCTAGGCCAAAATAGAGCTGAACTGGGCTGACTTTAAACATAATGAATTAAACATAATATGATAAAAAAGAAGACATCAGAAGTACACAGAAATATTGCTGTTGACAATTGACTTATTCAAAATATAATATATAATATTTCTTGCATGATGTTTATGCTTGTTTTCTTGCGTGATGTTAATGTTTGTTCACATTTTGGTTGGTTGGCTCGTAACTGTCCAGTCAGACAACTGATTGGACAGTTGTCTGTAGGGCTAAGGTTGTCAAAAGTATCAAAAAAAAAAGTCACATTCAGAGGACAGAGATGAACCTTTCCTGAATATCTTCAGAATGACCAGTAGCAGAACTAGTACAAGGCCACATATACCTGGACTAAGACCACATAGTAATATAAAAGAAATTATTATTTAATGTTGAAAATTTCATTCTACTGTATTAAAGAGTGTTTTTATTATTGCCATGGTATCGGATTCGTTATTGACTACCAAGTCTATTTTAAAGACACCACAATTTTAGAGCCACTGCTATACACATACACACAAAACTATACTTGTTACTCACAGAAGTGCACCAGCAGCTCCTTGTTCTCCCTCAGAGCCTTTTTAAAATTTCCCTTGTTGAGATGTAAAATACCCTCCTCCACCACAGTAGCTGCACACACACAAAAGGTCATGACCCCCAGAACTGCCAAGCACCCGGACCTCATGTCTCCCTCGGGTGCTCACAACGGACAGAAGAGAAATCTGAAAGCAGTATGGATAGGAAGTGTAAGTACTTGTTATCTAAGCTATGCCCAGGTTTGTAGCTGATTAACTTCTCTATCTGCTCTGCTGTATCCCTGCTATTGGCTGCTGTCAAATCATTTATATCACTAATACCCAGTGAACTTTGACACATAATCCATTATTTAAGACAAATCATAAAACGTATTATACAGTCATACACACAGGATAATAGCATATAAAAGGTAAGGAATCATGTTATCAGCTAGTAAACTTTACAAAGCAATTTACTATACAACTGTTTTTGCTATCTGTACAAATGTCATAAAAAGCAGTCAGTAAACATACCTGTTGTTGCGAACCTGAATGATAGTTAAATTTATGTTAACAGGTCAAACCCACCTCCAACCAGAAAGAAAAAACAAAGCTTTACAAATATAGAAAAGAAAGCTACAATAGTATAACATTACTTTAAAATACATTTTGCATAATGAAAACAATATAGTACAATATTTAGAACTGAGGGTTAAATATTTTTTCTACTTAAAAATGTTATTAAATTACTTGAATGGAAATGAGCAGCCCTATGATATGGACACTAGAGGGAGTTGTAATCTCAGATATAAGTAAATGTTAAGGCTCAATAAAGATGACGTAAGTAATTTTAAAGCATTTATTCAACTATCAACATGATAGATAGAAAGCTATATATTTTATATGAGACATGTACATAATAAGAGAAGTGAACAGTACACATACTGTATCCAAAACATGCAGCCCCACCACTTTAAAAAGTTTTTGTTCCTTGGTGAGTGTCCGTGTAATCCCTCAGTCATCCAGGGAGGTTCCAGTGCAAAAGAGAATTCAGTTCTGTCAATTGGACAAAATGTTTGGCCATTCATACAAGACGGTTCTTCAGTTCTGAAGCAAAAAGCATTCCTTAGGTGCACTCATTATACAAAAGATACGTACCACTACACAAATGTGTAAATCCATGGAGAAACTATTATTAAAGTTAAGATTTAAGTATTAAGTTGCACCCATGACAATCTGCCGAGTCTGAGTTTGACCCTCTCTTTGCAGATAGGGCTGGTCATCTTTTGTAAACATGCACCACTTTGTTGCAGTGTGGACAGGAATGGTGTGTGTCCTGAAAGCTTCGGACCAACAGTGGAATCAGGCAGAAGCCACAGATCAACCTGCAACACACAAACATCAGCCCTGTGAGTCTGTCTCATCTGTTTTAAGAACGTGTACTAATGTATTAATTATATTACCAATATTACCAATTAGTTCAACTGAAATTAAACTTTTATTTTAATTTGGCAATAAAATTCATGTGGGCATGAATGTGGCTTGAACATACCCCACGAGTGCCAGCAGAGTACACATGCACCATGCGGCTCCACTAGGCACATGTGAGATCTGAGTGGTGCCCGTGCGCCCACAGTGAGGGCAATGTACGTGAGCAGGGCTGTCAGTCAGCTGGGAGGGCATCACCAGGGGCACAGGCTGAGGCTGGTATATGACCACAGGAGTGCTCTGAGTCACACTGATGGACTGGTTCACCACCACAGGCACTGGGGGACACAGTACGGGTTAGAGCAGATCCAGGCTCATGTATTAAGGGAGGAAGGGGAGGAAAGGGGGAAGAGGGGGAAGAGGGGGAAGTGGAAGATTAGAAGAGAGGAAGAGGAGGTGGTACCGTCTGTGGCAGGGTGGATGAAGACCCCCGTGTTTTGCTGAGAGCTCACAGGCACAGACAGGACAGGAAATTGATCTGACACAAACTCAACTGTGGAGCACAAAACAGTCACAAAAGCATAATTTTACACAAAGCAAATGTATGGCCTTATTCTATATGTGTGTTGACTGGACATGTGTTTATAAATCTCATGTTCTGGCATAAAATTCCCAATTTAAAATGACCAATTTGTGACCCAAAAGATGTATCTAAGTAAGAATAACAGCAGGTCCAGTGGATTTCTGAATCATCTAGAATGACTATGTGCATATAGTGAAGTGACCTCACACCTGCTTCTCCATAGGAGGGCGGTGGGGTGGAGGGCAAGGACACAGAGGCATCATAGGTAGGAGGAGGAGGGATGTGGAGCGCCCCTGGGCCCTGCGCCCGTGGGTGCTGCTCTGCCTCGTCGTACGAAGGAAGGTCCATCAGCTCAGGCATTCATGGGAATCTGTGAGCACATCAACAAAAGCATCAGATTTCAAAAACTGATGATGAAAAAATAGTAAACGAAAATAATACTTACTTTGCTCATATATATGAATATTGGTATTATTATGTGTTTAGGATAAAGAAAACAACTATTAACATGTTTTAAAAACAAAGTCGATGCAAAATTCAATGCAAAGCAAACATTGTTCCAACAAATGCAAACATGCAAGAGAATATCTTTATTCAAATCCAAGCTACTGGAATCCCAATTTCAGGGTCTACATGCTATTTCTGTTTTGGCTCTTTTCGGTCTGGAAATGTCTCCCTCCCCCAGTTAAAATTAACTTCCATAGTCTTACAGCCCACAGAGGACACTACAGGTCCATAAATAGAGCACTTTATGGCGCTCCTGTTCACAATCTTGTTTAACATCAGTGAGGGAAGTGTGCCCCTCCCTCAGCTGTTTTACATACACAATAGGAGCACCTGCCTGTGAGCTGTACACATCACTGAGGCACACTATCTGATCAGAGCTGCATGATCTGACTGAAAAAATACTTTGAATGGAAAAACGATATCGGTATTATCTTACTGAATACAAGTGGTTAGGTAATTCTATGTACAACCATTAAACACTATTTGTCGAAGGCAGTTGCATAATGCGCACAGAAAACAAGATAATGCTACAGATAAATATAGAAGCTTCAATACTGAAAGAGCTGCTGATAGTAGAGCCCGACTGATATGGATTTTGTTGTGGCCGATATGAAACCGATATAATGGGAGTTGGAGCTGCCGATAGCCGATATAATCGCCGATATATATTTAGTGATGTAAAAATTCACTGTAAATCTTGAATTATTAAAAAAAAAACTTAGGTTTGGCTCTAGTGGATTTTAAACTGGGTTTATTTAGGCAACATTTATTGTTATTCTGTCTCTTTACATGATATGTCATTGGACTAAAGCAGGTCTAAGGCAGGTCTAAAGCAGGACTAAACCAGAACTGAACAGGACTAAAAAAGGACTAAACCAGGACTAAAACAGATCTAAACCATGTGTAAACCAGGACTAAACCAGAACTTAACCAGGACTGAGTGTCGGGACTCGGACTCTATCACTCTCCCTCTCTCGACCCCAAGATTAGTCCTGGTTTATTTATTTTATGCTGAATATATTTATGCACACGCATATTTTTAAAACTTTCCTTTTTAGCCGCTGCCGCTGTCAAACTACCACGAGCGGCGTGAAGAGAAAAAAGTGAGAGAAAGAGAAAACACGACTCCCAATCCCATTAAGGAGCAGGCTCCCATCGTTCACTTCAAAGAGCCGGCTCTAAGAGCCGCTTCGTTCGCGACCGACCCATCACTACTAGCGAGTAAATAAACAATCGCTATTAGCCTTTACCTGTAAATGCTGCGCGCCGCGGTAATTAATTATATGCGCAAATTTCATCATTCACATGTCTATTCACAGCTCATTTACATCAATGCTGGTCCAGTAGCAAATATACGGCCAATGTAGTCACTTTACAATAGACCAATAGAAAACAGCCTGTTTATGTGTGAGAGCTACAGCAGTTAATCGCTAACCTATCAGAACGAACCTTTTAATCCTGACTCAAACCGATTGTCCGTAAAAAAATATATAATCTCAGTGTTGCGTACATGGATCTACGTCTGCGGGTGTAAACAAATGCACGTGACTCCGGGGGTGTGTTCAGGGACAGTACGGACACACACACTGACAAATGACTTCGTAGATAATTACTGACGCAGAGCCACATATTAGGACATTTATCTGTCTGTAAAATGGAATAAATGAACATAATGCATAATGTCTAAGCTTTGTAACGAGGTATAACATGGCCACGTGAAATATCGGCCCCTATCAGCAAGTATATTGGCTGATAGCCGATATGCTTCCAGGTGCTCATATCGGCCGATAATATCGGCCAACCGATATATCGGTCGGGCTCTAGTTGATAGTTACAGCATTCTGACTGCGTTGCAATATTCAGTTCATTTATAAAACACATTTATAACTCAAAATGCAATGTAATAATGGTATTAACATGATCTCATTCATTCAGATATTGAGGGCACATTAAAACTGAATGACCACTGTTTGTATGTTCTCTATTAGAGTGGGTTTGCAAGGCACCAAACTGGGGGTTGTGAGATTATTTCAAATTATTTCCAATGACACAATGGATTACGCAAATGAACAACTTTTAAGCATGGTACCATACAACAAGTTTTGACCATTGGAATTATTGTTGCTTTTTTATTATGCAGTGGTGGTCGCAAGTCTGTTACATGTTTATTTTGAGGGTCTTGTAAGTTTGGGAACCCCTGCTCTATTATTCTAGTAATAACCTGTGACATTGTGATACTGATGGGTTCAAAATACTGTGGTCTAATAGCAATGTGATTCATGTGAGCTGTAAAGAGTAGGGTTAGGGTTACATTGTCGGTGATTTGAATCCTGTTCCTTTAATTCATACTGCTGCTGTGTCCTTAGGCAAAACATGTCATCACCACCAGTGTGTATATGCGGTTCGGAAATGAATGGATACACTGCAGAAACATTACGAAATATGTTTAACCAACTAAACTAAACCACAACAATCCTCATTTAATGTACATGCCATGACAGTTTTGCTGAGTAATTGGCTATAAGAATACACTCTCTTTATTTGAGGAACAGCTGCAAATGTGAGAGGAACTTCGGCTTTAGCGTACTACAGTATATTTTCATAAGTTTTACATAAATTGTCATCTGTGACACTTTGACATTTTATATGAATGATCATATTGGAAGTCTTCTTTAAATTGAGGATATATTAGCCAGACTCATGCCACCTAGTGCCTCCGCTCAATTTAATTTCTCTCTCTAAAGCCAGAACAAATGTTGGTGAATGTTTGGTGAATTTTATCAAGAGGGAAGATGTTATTGTCCTTCTTCCTACAAGATTTTGGAAAAGCTTAATATACCAGTTAGTCCCGTTAGCGGCGCATTACATACGTCACAACCAAATAACAGTGATTGGTTAAATAAAAAAAAGTACCTGGCTACAGCTGAGCGAACGAATCCTAATGTTGTGAGGTCTGATAAAACAGGCTAAGGATATATAACCTACACTCTGCTTTATTAGTAAAAAAAAAAAAAAAATCAATCTTCAATCTCAACTGAACCAGGGTTGGGGGTTTTCCTATGCTTACAACTTACATATAGAGAACATTTTTAATATAGAGATAAATCTAAAAAAAATATATAATGTAATGAAAAGTTCAATATTTTTTGTCATTTCAGAAAGTCAAATCCATATTACAGATTCATTACTCAAAGAGTGAAGCTATCAAGCCTTTATTTCTTGTAATTTTGAAGATTATGGCTTATAGATAATGAAAACATCAAGTCATGGTGTCACATTCTGAGCTAATTATCTCAGAACATTTGCAAAGGTTTCCTGAACTCAACCAAGTATTAAATGCATAAAAAGGAACATAACTTTCAGAAGCCTGATATTTCTATTTAAAATATCCTCGCTAACTGATTCTGTTTATGAAATTAGAAATAGAAATGCTACAAAGACTTCCTTTAACAATTCCTATGATTACTGGCATCAGGGATAATAATAAAACTAAGTGTATTAATTGTAACTCACATAACTGTCTATAAGTATTTTCAGATATTCAAATACAGTTTCACACATAACAAGAAAATAAGGTGTAATAAATAGAAATAGGTTATTAATTAGTGATATTTGACCAATCTAATTATAAAAACAAGAGAGCTACACTGTGAAGCATAAAAAAACAAAAATAAAATAACTACAATGTGTAGGAAACAATGCACACGTGCTTTCCATTGTCACCTGTCACCTAAAACCTATTGTATCACTGTCCACATACCTGCCAGTCCAGTCCTCTGTGGTACTCTTCAAACGGGACTGACCCGCGCTGTGGACATCCTGGCTCGGATTCGTAACTGTGAGCTTCTGTCCTGGAGAAAGAGTGGAGAGGAAGACTGACCTGGGACAAACAAGGAAGCGGGGAGATTTGAAGCAAGGAAGTAGGAAGCCTGTTGAGTTGACATCAGAAGCTGGTCCAACCTGTTCTTAGTGGAATGCCTGGTATGTCCTTACACCACGCTGGTCAACCACACCGAGTAGAGGAAAGAGGGGCGTGAAAGGGGCGTGAGCTGGTAACACAGGAAACTGAGGTATAGGTTAACAAAATATCAGGATCATTGTATACAATTACAGGTGTAGTAGTACTCAGTTACATTTATTTTAAAGTGCAGGGTTACTCATTCATTGTGTTTTTTAACTTCATACACCTTCACCAGAATCATTTGGATGATTTCAGTCCTGGAATTGCCAATCTCTACTGAAATAAACGTAAAAGGAGCTGTTAACTTGAAAACTGCCACTTCATGACATCACAAGGTGGTATTTTAAGCTATGGAGATGTACACAGACTGATAATAAAGGGTGACTCAAACATGTGTGAATGAAACAAAACACAAATCCAGGTCTGTTTTAATGAGACTTGGTCACAACATTATGACAAGAATCCATTTTCAGTAATGTATATGGGTGTAATGATATCCAAATCGCTGGATACGATATTATCATGATATGCATCTCACTAGGGGTGTGCAAAAAATGTAAATATCGATATATCGTATCGTTTAATGTGATGATACAGTATTGCTATCATGGGCTGCTGTATCAATATATCACCAAGAGTATTTTTTGGTATATTTTACTAAATTATTTTGTTACAGAGCTACAGTTTTGTTGCTTGTTTAAGGGAAGGAAAGTTATTTATGCATCACATTTGACATTTTCACTGTTTTGATGATTAAAATGTTTGTGTTTCATATGAACTTTGCACAAGAAGTGGTTTAACAAAAACTTTTAGTATCACAGCCATAACTTAGATATTATTTTTTATTGAACCATATCGAATTGATTTGAAATATATTGTATTGAATGGCATCAAATCAAAACGAAGATCACTGTATTGAGATATGTATCGTATTGTGGCCTATGTATCGCGATATGTATTGTATCAGCAAGTTCTGAATAATATCCAGCCCTACATCTCACAGTAGGATATTTATTGCGATGCTGTGGAGAGGCTGATAAAATTGTAGATAGGACACATTTTTTGCTTTTAAAATACCCTGACAACATTTTGGCGTGATTTATTACTGTAATAATATCAAGAATTCAAGTAAAAAACATATTTCTTCATGTTGTCTGTGCTGAAATGGATCATGGGATATGCAGTTCCCAATGTTCATTAGCTATTGCTACTATAAAATATGCATTTAAGCAAAGGGATTTTTAATTCAATATATTGTGACAGACCACAGTATTATTGTGAGATTTTTGACAATACAATATCACAATATTTTGGTTATTGTTACTTTTAAAGGTGCACTGTGCAACATTTCCAGTGAAGGGTTCTGCCTAGAGTTTAGATTAAACCTATCATGAGGGAGACAAGGAGGTTACAGCACAAAGCTACAATTCAGATCTGTGGAGAGTCGCCCCAATTCTCAGAAGACATTATTGTATTTTTGAGCAGTAGAAACATCTGTAATGAATAAATGCGAGATGAATATGCTTAATGTCATACCATGGAACATTTCAGGCAAAGCAACAACATCTCCATGGAGACAAATAGATAGCGGACCCTCCACCTGAAAAGTCTTGCAGCGAAAAATTACACAATGCACTTTCACTGTGTAACTTTTCCTACTTAAGTACCAAAAAGCTGAGTTAATATTTCATGCCTGAATTGAGTGTGTAGTGGAGATGGGTGAGCAGTAGTCATGATTCCTAAACTTAAAATTTTTCTAAAAAAAAATGTAAAATTGAAATGATAAAACAGCAAGTTCAAACCTATTTAATTTTGAGCCAAACCGTGCGTAACATGTCAGAGAGAACGATATATTTTGAATGATGTAATATACTAATGACATTTTTCTTAAAATTGTTTTTGGTCTATTGATGACAGAATGCAAACAGCCTGTAGCTATTACATAACTCTGCCCTGTGACACAACACGTGCCATTAACATCTGAGTCACATTTTCCAAACCAGTCACTACATGAGAAATTCTTGAGTAAATAAATCATGTATTGGTATTCAGAATTGGCATCTATTGTTATTACAGTTTTCATTAGTAAACTGTGAAAAATTATATGGTGTTATTGCATTATCTGCTTTAAATTAAATATATCCCTCATGTGATATCAATAATGAGAGTTACTGGTTACCTCTTCAACCTGGTGTTTGTGTTTGAGGTCTTAAAATGAGGTTCCTTTATTGCGCAAAATTGATTCTCGTGAGCTTTAAGCCATGTTAGAATGCTGTTACCTCCTCAAAAACTGATCTGAAGTGAAGATTTGTTACATTCCCACAAGTCTGAGTAATCTTTTATTATACTAATATAAAGACAAACCCTGCAGTGTTCACTCAGTGCAAAAAAAACAAAAGAAAATAAAAACAAAACTCCTCCTTTTGATATCATGTTGTAATACAGGAAATGCCCCACTGTGTTTTTAGACTTCATACACCTTCACTAGAATCATTTGGATAATTTCAGCCCTAGAATTCCCAATCTCTACTGCACTAAAGGTAAAAGTAGCTGTTAACTTGATGTAGGCAGGCCAAAAATAAAGTGTGACTCAAACATGAATGAAACAAACCACAACTCAGCTCCTGTTTTTTAGGAGGTAACAACATTTTAACATGGCTTAAAGCTCACAAGAGTCAATGTTGTGTAACATAGGACCTTTAAAGATGTATGCTTTCAATTTATAATGTCATATATTCTATAAATACAATGGTATAATTTTCGAGATTTAATGGGTGGCTCTCCCTCGCCTAATCATAATACAGCATAGGCCTGTACTTTGCACCACATTCACACCCAATTTCAAGCTTATAATTAATCATAGAAATCTCTCTCTGTCACAACAAGTTTACAAGTTTATAATAACGAATATCAAAGAATAGCCTACCTTATTAAACAAATTGCTTGGTGGTTAGGAGCGCGCCAGTTTCTTTTTGTCCCATCATCCACTTTGACTTTTACGCACGATCCAAAACTATGCCAGTGCTGACCTCTAGTGGTGGCGCTGCGTTATTTTATCACCGATGTCAAAGGACCAGGAAAATAACCAGTGTTATTAAATTAATAGCTTTGGATTAATGCCACTTGTCAGTCCTTTGAATAAGACGTGTACTTACGTGGCCTATTAAAATATTTTAGTCCTCGTTCAGCCCTTGTTTAGTCGTGGTTCATTCACGGTTTAGTCTTGGTTTAGTCCTGGTTCAGCCCTGGTTTAATCCTCGTTCAACCCTAGTCTAGTCTTGGTTCATTCTCCTGGTTTCGTCCTTCTTCTTTCTCAGTTCAGTCCTGATTCAGTCCTGGTTTATTCCTGATTCAATCTTGATTTATTCCTGATTCAGTCCTGGTTTATTCCTGATTCAGTCCTGGTTTGTTCCTGTTTCAGCCCTGGTTTAGTCGTGGTTCATTCTTGGTTTATTCCTGGTTCAGCCCTGGTTCATTCTCGGTTTATTTCTGGTTCAGTCTTGGTTTAGTTGTGGTTCATTCTCAGCTTAGTCCTGCTTTAGTCCTGGTTCATTCTCAGTTTAGTCAAGGTTCAACCCTTGTGTAGTCCTGATTCATTCTACGTTTATTCCTGGTTTATTCCTGGTTCAGCCCTGGTTTAGTTGTGGTTCATTCTCGGTTTAGTCCTGGTTCACTCTCGATTTATTTCTGGTTCAGTCTTGATTTAGTCCTGGTTCAGCCCTGGTTAAGTCCTGGTTCATTCTACGTTTAGTTCTGGTTTAGTTCTGGCTTAGCCCTCGTTTAGTCCTGATTCAATCCTGGTTTATTTGTAGTTCTTTGTAGGTTTAGTCCTGGTTTAGTCACTCTGGTTCTCCTGAAGGTTTTTTTCCCCCCAGTTTTTTCCTGATGAAAAGAAGGGTCTAAAATTTACAGGTTACTGGGACAGTCACTCATTTCAATAAATACATAAATAACAACAAAGGGATTTTAATCCTAATTTTTATGAAACCATATTTTTATTCACAACAAATAAACAACATATTGTGATGAGACAATTTACAGTTTCATAAAATAACAAATAATTTACACATGTCAAATAAGATCCATGTCAAAAATTGGAGCAAGGTATGTTTTCCTAATTATGCAGCACCCTCATTATAATACAGTTAGTATGTGTATCCAAGAGGTAACAGCAACAGCCAACAGTTTACTCTTTTTAAATGAAATACAATACAAACAAGACCGTCATTAGATACCCACAGCCAAATTTTCTTTCCTTACAAAATTCATTATATTGTGAAGAAATAGTTATATAAATAGGAGATATTTTACTTCTTTGGGGTATTAACTGCTAACACATAACATATTTAGATCACCGTGTTACCGTTTATTGTGGACAATGCTATATATTCGCTTTAGAACGCTCTGAGCCTCACCTCCCTTTGCTCTCTGGCTCAAGTCACTCCCCGTTCAGAGCGCTACCACAACACAATCAGCCTGCATTTCACTGAAACACATCGCATCAGGTTTGTCAAGTTGCTGTGAACAGTTTTATATCATGTTTTTGTATATTTATGGAGAATCGTCGTGTGGGAGCATGGGTGACGTAGGCTTGTGGGCTGAGTATTCCACACAATCTTTCTGCTAACTATAAGGACGGTTCAAATAGGGGCCCAGGAGAAATCTCTAAAATACTGATATGTGCATGGATGACATCTACAACCTCAACAACTTTAGGACATGGAAGAAAGAAAAAAAAAGATGTTGCATAATACTCCCTCTTTCAAGAAGTGGATGAAATTATAAAGACACAAATCACAGTTCATCTTTGGAGGTTTTGTTGGCTGGTGAGTCTGTTGGTGCGACGGTCTCCTGAAAGTAAAAAATAAATAAAAAAATGTTAAAATCTTATTAAGAAAACATTTTGTAGAAGTATATTGTCTTTCTCATCACTAACTTCTTCATCGTCATCCTCATCATCGTCATCATCGTCATCCTCCTCTTCGTCCTTTGGCTCCTCAGGCATGACTCCCCCATTATCCAGGAACTGAGACATCTTCTCCAAAGTCTTATCTCCATTATACCGTACCTCCTGAAGAACATCAAATCAAATTAAAGCTGTCGTTTTTGTTGTAATGTTCATCATCAAGGTCTGACCAGAACCGTTAAACTAACAAACCAATGCAATGAATTCTGAGGGTTTCAGTATCCACAACACGAATGCTGAGAGGAAGAACTTTGACACCCCTGGCCTCCCCCTCCACCCACTCTCCGCACTCATTTGGAGCTTGCATTTGTCTTGTTTAATGAAGTGCTCTCCCACATGAATGTTACACTAGCTTTAAAAATTAGTTTTGTTTTGTTTTTTTTGTTTTTTTAACAAACTCAATTTCGATACAAAAAAATATACTCAACACTCTATACCGAGTCATAAATCACAGTACTTTCCTCTTTATTTTTTATTATGATGTGGTCTCATATTTTTAGGACTTGAGACTTGATTTGATAAAATAAACATAGACTTGGGACTCAACTTGGACTGGAAAGTCAGTGACTTGGGACTTGATTTGGACTTGAGCCCTGTGACTTAAAAAATATATGTTTTTAGAACATATTTTTCTCTTTACAGTTGATAGATGTGGTGCTTAACTTTACAGGAACAAACTGGAACATGTCCACTTCTCTATTTGTTACTTTGGATGTAACTGAAGTACTGTGATATGGTATCATCAAATACACTACAGTAATATAACGGACAATAAAGTAAAACAGAGGGAACTACATAGAACATGATCCTTCCATTTCAACACAGACATGACAAAATAACTGTTATCAAGCACTTTTAAATCTGAATTCTTTCTACTCTGACCATAATAATTTGCACTCTTGTCAAGACATTTAAAAAGGAAAAATTGTATTTCTACAACTCTTATATAAATACTCATATACCATGACTCTTTAAGTACAATTTAGTTTAAAAGTCATATAAATAGCAAAAATCAAAGCTATATTTGGTACTTTTTTGGCTTAAAGACTTGAAATGACTTGAAGCTCAAAGCAGACGACTTGAATTTGACTTTGAACTTATGGGCCAGTGACTCAAGACTCGACTTGGACTTGCCTATCTTTGACTTGGGACTTGACTCGGAAATAAGTATATACTGTAGTTTTAATTGTTTAAGTGCTGATTAGTATCTGATTTTCTTTTGACAACCCTACATGGTATAGGATTTTAAATGGCTGGTGTTAATACAGATTTTACAGTACGATTACCACGATATGCATTTTACAGTACAATACTTATTCCAAGTTAATTTTGACAAGAAATTTTAGTTTTAGTCAAAGTTTTTTCTAATCATTCTATTAAAATTTTGGCTAGTTTTAGGCCCATAATACTTTCAGTCAACCATCAATTGCCTCATTCTAAAAAATGTAATAACTAGCAACACATAGTAGTAACATGTTCAACTAGACTCTTTTGACCCATTGATTCCAGAAAGGGTCAATCTAGTCTAGTTTATGGAAAATCAGATACTAACTGATGCTAAAACTAGAATCGAAACTACATTCTCATTTGAGCAAGTATCAATACTAAAAAAGTCACCTTCACAGGACAGAAATGAACCTTTCCTGAATAGCTTTAGAATGATCTTGAGCTGTATAAGAGCACATAGACTAGTATACTAAAGTCTAAATAAAGAGCTTTTTTTATTATCATCATGGCATCAGAATCAATGTTGAGTATCAAGTCTATTACTTAGTATGAAAATTGAGTTTGAAACTGTATTGCCTGTAGCCCACCTTGCCTTCCGTTGGGTAGTATATGAGAGTGGGGAAGCCTCCGATCTCCAAGTCCTCCACCTCATTGGCTGTGGCGTCCATCTTGGCTATGATGATGTCCGTGTGATTGGCGTATTTCTCTCCCAGTTTATCCCAGATGGGGGCCAGCTCTTTGCAGAAATGACACCACGGGGCATCTATAGAAAAACAAACACAATGCCATAATATTTATGAATGATCAGGGTTGGTTAGGGATAATTAATCAAAAGTAAATCTAAATTGCTGTTTCAACTTGTTTTTGTTTAATTTTTGTAAATTTTTCACTGTTGTCTCAAATTAATACTCTGGAAGTGCTTCAGATATGCACTTTGAACTGAATTTTGATATATTTTTCATAAAATCTGTGAAAATAATGCAGGGATCTCCAACCTGTAGCTTGGGAGCTACCAGTAGCTCTCCAACCCCTTCCAAGTAGCTCGCCAAGAGATTTCTGAATTATATGCATTGTGCTGAATAACAAAATTTGGTGTTAATTAAATGGCTGTTATCCATTGTAAATGTATCATTCTGATGCCTAACTTTGTGCACTAATAATTTATGTTTTATAGGCATCTACCTGTACCCATCTACGGCCATGGCTCTTTTATACACTCAATGTCTTTTGTTAAACTGAGTAGCTCTCTGGCATTTTTGTTTTGTAAAGGTAGGTCACCGGAGGAAAAAGGTTTGAGACCCCTGATCTAAAGTGATCAAAGAAAATTGTCAGTTTTATATTCTTCTAATTGTCTTGGTTCTGTTTCTTGCCCTTCAAATGTTTTATGATTTTAAAATGATTGTTTTGACTATAAATAAGAATGAAACATAACAATTGCCCATTTTTTGGGATGACTAATATAATTTTTTTAATTGGAGTGATAGTTGAATACAATTTTGTCTATGTTATAAACCTCTGTACATAATAATAAAAAATGGTGAAACAAGTGGATATGACTTACAGAACTCGACAAACACATTTTTGGTGGAGTCCAGGGCCACAGACTTGAAGTTCTTTCCCACCAGCACTTTGACATGGCCTTTGTCCCAGTCCTCAGGGATCTCCTCTGACATGTAGAACGGCTGCACACAAACACACACAAACTGCTGTATCACTCTGTGTCATGAGGATGTACTGTGTCTGACACAACACTATAACACTCTATACCAGCCTTTTTCCTCCACTGAGCTACCTTTACATAATAAAACTGCCAGAGCTACTAATTTAAACGCTCATGAAAAATTGAGCATAAGAGCCACAACCTTAAGGGGTCCAGTTAGATGCCAATGAAACCATTATCCATTTATTAGTGCACAGAGTTAGGCATCAAAATGATACATATACAGTAGAAATGGGCATTTAAATAACAAAATTGTGGTTTATTTCAGAACAATACATATAATTCTGAAACGCCTTGGCGAGCTACTTGGAAGTGGGTGGAGAGCTCCTGGCATCTCCTGAGCTACAGGTTGGAGACCCCTGCTCTATACATTGTATGCATGTAAATACTAATGAACAATTGAAACCTCAGAAAGCCACATATAAACAGAAGGTTGAAACACAAGAATAGGCTTGTGGTGTTTAACATGCATACTCTGAGGATGCACCACCTGCTTGTCTCCTTGGAAAAGTTATAGCTTTGCCTGCGATGTTCCCACAAGATAAACATATTTAGGTGGTGCCTCCAAGCCAATTCAGATCTGTGGAAAGGGGATCCCATCCACAGTAATGTCCTTAAGGATATTATATCCATAAAAAAACCTGTTATTTAATAAATGGATTTCTTTAATGTTATACTGTGGAAGATTACAGGTAAAGAAATCAGCAACATCTCCATAGATTCCCCACTAGAAAAGTTAACTAAATGTGAACTGTGAATTAAAAATATACCTCAAAATCAAAAATCATAGAATCTAAAAAGAGTGTAGAGCTGGTGTTACCTGTGTGGTCCCGTCCAGCACCCCCTGACACAGCTCTCTGACCGCCTGTGCAGTGAAGGGGCTGGGGGCCAGGTTGTACTTCTTCCTGCTGTTCATGTCAAACATACGGACAGTGGGGATCTCACTTGTCTGTACACCAAAGTACTGCAGGATTTTAACCTGTGCTTCGTCATTTGCATCCAGCAAAACAAAGAGAATCTGAATGAGAGAAGAGAGACTATCTTTAAGTCAGATCTGAGAGGGGCTCACAATATTAATTTTTATAGTATTAGTAATACCAATACAGTAGTCACAGTTGTAATAGTAAGAATTGAAGTTGTAGTAATTGCAGTATTAGTTTTACCTTTCCCTTGAAGTCCTTGGCCACAGCACGGGTCTCCTCCACCAGAGCCATGTGAGCATCGATGGTGGAGTTTACAAACATCAGGGTGTGGACTTTCACACTGGAACTAAAGATGGCCTGGGATTTCTGAACACAAACAAAACAATTTTTTTTTTAAATAACTTTTCATCCACTAATACTATGCAGCTTTGATTAATGGAGGTTTTTAGCCCACAATGTCACCTATAGGGATTTTACATTTTATTCCAGAGTTGTTTCTTCATATTTAACACATTGAGATCCATATTTTAAAACATAGAAGACAATGAATCAGGTTCTTGCTCAGTTTGCAACAGGGCCAGTGATATTGTAATATTGTGTGTGTGTGTGTATTCACCTCTGCGTTGAAGTGGATGATGAGCTCCAGGCTGTTTTCTTGGATGAAGCTGGTCAGGTTGCCTTTGTCCAGTGTGCCGTCCTCTGTCAAAGGGAAGTCCGCTCTGCCCTCGTCAAACTGGAACACATTAATGTTCCACTCAAATACTACACATTAACAAATACAACTGTAAACCTAAACCTCTGCTTGGTGTTAAAATTTGCATGCTCTACTGCAATACTTATACTCTACTACTAACTACTAATCACAACTGCCAATGGTAATACTATTATAAATCTATTCAGAAGATTTTAAACTATATATCATTATGATTCCCGTGAAGACTTTAATAACAACCATCTGTTTTTCACAAGCAAATCTAAAAAAAGAAAAAAGGTAGATATAAAATGGTAAATGGTCAAATTTTTATATAGCACTTTTCCACCTTCAAGACACTCAAAGCGCTTTACAACAAGGAACCACTCGTAAGAGAATTTAAGTAATTTATCTTCCATGTGCCTCTCAGTTTAACATTGACTCACAAAAGCTATATTTACACCATGATCTTCCCTTGGTACACCATTGACATACCATTATCTAAATTGTGGCATATTGCTGTCTACTGGCCTTCAGAGTCTCACCACACTTGCTTTATAAACCTCTTCCTTCGGAAGCATAGAAAAGTGGCTCGAACACTCAAAGATCATACTATGTTCACTTTTGAAATCATACCATGTTGACTTTTCAAGTATTGATGGTAAATAAACTTCTCCTGCTTAAGACTTCAGTTGGTCTCCAGCCTTTTACTTCCACTCTTTTTTGGACAAGCTGAAAACTTTGACAACACCATTCAAACACACATTCATTCATTCATACACTAGTGTACACAGACATGGGGGTGGGGTGGGTTAAGTGCCCTAGGACACATTCATCTGCATTCATCTGTGGGAGCTGGAATCACACCAGCCAACCTGTGGGGCAGTGGATCTGATCACTCTACCAATGATGTTTATGTCGAGAGCAGGATTTAAAAGTCCAACGTTTGGACTAGTGGACAAATACTCTACCAACTGAGCAACTGTTGCCCAACTTTAATAACAACCATCTGTTTTTCACAAGCAAATCTAAAGAAAAAGTTAGATATAAACAATACAGGCATATTATTTTTTTACTTTAGTTTGCTTAAAGAGAGGGTATTTGACATCTACAGTGTATTAACTGCTAACACATAAGATATTTAGATCACCATGTTACTTTTTATTGTTTTGAAAATGCTATATTTGCCAAAAACAATGTATTAACATGTTTTGACTTCAGTTTTTGATGCTCTGAGTCTCCCCTACCTTTGAGCCCTAAGTTAAATCACTCCCTCTTAAAAGTGTAATCACAACACAATCAGAATGCATCCCACTACTGAAACTACTGCACATCGCATCAAGTTTGTTGAGGTGATGTGTACAGTTTTGTATCACAATTTTGTATATTTATGAAGAACTGTCATGTGGGAGCCTGGGTGATGCAGACTTGTGGGCAGAGCATTGGACATAAGGAGGACATAAGGTTTGAATAGGGCCCAGGAGAGATTGCTAAAATACTGGTACATATCCTTTTATGCCATACTACAGCATAAACAATGTCAAAGTCAAAAGAAAGTCAGGTATGTGGAGATGCAAGTCCGCTCAGTGCAATCAAAATACCCAATAAACATGATTTTATTTCAGTCTCTTATTTGTTTTTTCTCTGTTGGTTGTCAAATGCTACATACTATTTTCAGTATTGTAAGTATATTATTGTTCATTGTAATAATTTATGAATCAATCACCCACGGCCTCCCCAAATTACATCAATACTCTATGATTACATTTGTTGCTAACAATACTATTACTTGCTGCATTGTGTATGTACCAGTGTAGTACAGAGCTGTCAGTGTGTGTGTGTGTTTACCTTCTTAAAGAGCACCACAGAGTCTGCTGTGACTTCATACTTGCTGAACACCTCTGGACTGGACGTCTTGGCGAACTCGACATCCGTGCTGAAATAAAGCTCATCCAGGACTTTGGCTGCTTCACTCTCCACATCCTGACACAAACACACACATCCAATTAGAGTTTTTATTTTTAAATATAAATACCAACTTTATACAACTTTCTTAGAATAAGTATGGTTACGGTACTTTAAAGAACACATATTATGCTTGTGTATTTGTATTTGTAGTTATAATCTATGACAACTATGCATCATTATGTTATAATTTGCCTAAATTATCTTAATAAAAGAAACTCTGCTTCTGACTTCTGCATTAGAAAACTGTGTAAACTTGTGTAAGCTGTGGGCCCCTTCGATGAATAGCTGCACATCACACAGGATTTTTTTTCATTTGTACCAAAATGACACTGCTGAATCCTTTGCACATCACCAATTAAGAAAATTAAATTGGAGAACAAAGTAAGTACACAGCAGTGGGCATGTATCAGTAGCAGTAAAAAAGGGGGGTTGATCTGCAAAAATGGTATCTTGAAAATAAGGAATTAAAGCTCCGCAAAGGTGATTTAACAAGAAGTTAGCAAAAAAACAAACAAAAACAACAACAACAAAAAATAAATTCTTGGATCAATAATCAACTAAATCAGTGTTTTATCATTTTTAGAAAATATTATTAAAATTATTATGACAATGAATGGTTGTGTGTGTAAGAAAACTTGTCAAAATTGAAAATTGTGTTATTGTTTCTTATGGCTTAGATTGTAGATTTTTTTTATTTTTTTTTACTAATGTGTATTATTTATTTTAATTTGTGATACACTTTGGAAACTGCTTTGTTATCTTCTTGAAAGACCCTCTGGTGTAAAGGCTCTTAAATGCATAATAGACAGATATAAACTGGGTTGTATTACTTCCAAATGATTACTAAGAGGGAAAGCAAGAAATTAATAAGTAAGTAAAAATCTCTGTGTTTGAGTTAATGTTGTCCCAATACTAAGGAATAGACTTGATACTCAGTAATCCTGATTCTGATACCACAATGATAATTAAAAACACTCTTTAGTCAATAGAATGTGATTTTCAACATTAAATTGTAGTACTTTCTTATATGTTAGGCCTGCCATGTGGTCTTGTATGTGTGGTCCAGGTAGGTTCCGTAGTGGTCCATGTGCGTATACTAGTTTATGTGCTCTTATACTTCTGATGCAGCTCAAGATCATTCTAAAGCTATTCAGGAAAGGTTCATTTCTGTCCTGTGACTTTTTTTAGTATTGATACCTCCTCAAATGAGTATCTAGTTTCGAGACTAGTATTGATTTGCATTTTAGAATTTTGATATGATGCATACAGTTTTGCATTAGCATTAATTAAAGATGTAACCTGAGCTCCACCTTAAAGAATCCCACTACAGAGATATTATGGGCGTCGATGAATTGTGCAGCAGAGGAGGGGGAGTCCAGGGTGGGGGCACCAGGAGAGGTCTGACGCTTCATCCATGTGACCATAGCCTCAGGAGACCGCCCTCCTACAAAAGACACACAACAATTCTGTAGTCATATTAAATAATTTCGTTATTTCTTATAAGCCTGATTCATCAGCCGGTTTCATTTTGTTTCACTTCATAGAAACCATTTGACCTTGCAGCGTTAAAATTCGTTCACTCGACGGTAGGCGGGTACTTTTTATTAATTTAACTAATCGCTGCTGTTTGGTCGTGATGTATGTAATGTGCCACTAACAGGGCTAACTAGTATATTAACCTTTTCCCAAATCGCATAGGAAGAAGATCGATAACGTCTTTCCCCTTGATGAAATCACCAAACATTGTCTTTATTTTGGCTTTAAATCCTCGATCTCGGGAATTGCTGACAACACAGAATATATGTCTCTTCGCTGATTGGCTGGTGCCCGGACTCGCACTTTCAGAGTTCTTGCACGTAGTCACTGGAGAGAAATGAAATTGAGTGGAGGCACTAGGTGGTGCCAGCCTGGTGAATTTCTTATAAGTGGCTTTTGGAATGCAGAACAATGTATTTGTAACTTACCACTTCTTCAAACAAACACAAGAACACTGTTAATTTACAGTTTAAGATTTAATGAACATAAGCAAGCCAAGAAATTACAGACAATATAATATTATGAATACAATATAATATAATATAATAAAATTTTTAATATTGATTCTTTGTGGCTAATGTCATCAACATTCCCTGGGGTGTGACGCTAAATGACGGCTCTGTTCATCTGGCTTCATACTAACTCTCTCTGAAGCTCTGTTAGTCAAAATAGACTTTAATCTGAGCTTTGTTTTAAGGCAATTTGAACATAAAGAACTATCTTATCTGAAACTACAACTGGTGAGAGGATTTGTGCTGTTAAGCAAGTCCCCAAGCCATCAGTTTTTCAGTTAGTCACTGTCACCTTTTTGTTAAAATGGTTGTTAAAGTGAACTGAAAACGAGTTCTTTTAATCCATTTTGTTATCATGGTAACTGCTGAATATTCCACTCTAGGCATATATGTAGAGCCTCCCCAGCATGATGTTGCTGCAAAGAGTCAATACACGGAACTCGCCCAACTCACTACACTTGTTTATATTTTATAGCTGTGGTGGTTCCCTCTACTCTGACTATGTTTGGATCCAGGCTCAAAAGGTTTCTGTAGCTTTTAACTCCTCTCTCTTTATTTTAATGTAAATTTTATGATGATTATTTATGATCTGCATTAGTTTGTATTGCGATTTTTAATGTCTTACTTTCTTATTCTGTAAATTATGTAAGTAATACAACAAATGCAATTCACACAGCGGTCCATTGTCCACACCCAAAACAGCATTGTTTTCCTATAACTGTAAGAGGCTACTTGAAACTGTCAAAACAAACACTATTTACTCCAGTCAAACTACAAACCAGAAACGAAGTCTGACACTAATTACTGTTGACTGAAGCAAACAGTGTAACCAGGCCTTTTTACTCAGCGCTAAGTACAAGATCTATTTGTAAAAGCAGTATTATTACATAAGTATTTTAGGAATAAGAGGCAGAGTGGTGGTACCAGCTTTTAAACCTACTAGTAATTATGTTTAAATTTCATTTCTCTCCAGCGACTAGGTCAGGAATCGGAATACACTAGACAGTTTGCAAAACCCCCAAAAGTGTTCGAGTTCGAGCACCAGCCAATCAGCGAAGAGTCATATATTCAGTGTTGTCAGCTATTCCTGAGATCGAGGATTTAAAGCCGGAACAAAGAGAATGTTTGGTGAATTTTATCAAGGGGAAAGACGTTATTGTCCTTCTTCCTATGGGATTTGGGAAAAGCTTAATATACCAGTTAGCCCCATTAGCAGCACATTACATATTTTTTCCGCCTCTGTTGACAACCTATTCTCAAAGTAATTGTTTTATTAAGCCTAAATAAGGTGTAGTTATAAAGTGGTATTGATAGTTTTAATGCTATACTGTGGAACATTCCAGTACATACCTGTGTAGTCTTTAGGCTTTGAGCGATCTCCATTGACGAACAGCTTGATGGTGGGGTACCCTCCGACCTCAAACTCCTCCGCCAGCTCCTTCTCCTCGATGGCGTCTACTTTGGCCAAACGCATGTCCTTCTCCTCCTGCTTCAGTTTCCCAGCCACCTCCTCATAGATGGGGGCCAGACGCTTACAATGTCCACACCATGGGGCATCTGGAAAACAAAAGAAATCATACTAAATAAAATAGGTATTAGAGCTGTAGTCGACTAAAGAAATGAAAAAGGGGAGGTTAAAGCTCTCAAAAAACTATTATGTATATTTATCTGACCCAAACTGCATTCTCAAGACTAAAAGGCCCATTTACACTATTCTCTGAGTTATGTTATAATGTTGTTTCCTTACCACAAACATACCTGGAGCTGTGTTTTGTTTCATTCACACATTTAAAACACAAACCCTGCATATTTAAGCTGAGTTCTTCTCTCAAACAGAAAACACCCTGTTCCACTTCGTGATGTCATGTGAAAATACAGGAAGTGCTCGAGTGTGTTTTAAAACTCCATACACCCTCACAAGAATCCTCTGGATGATTTTAACCCTAGAATTGCCCATTTCTGCTGAACAAAAGGCAAAAGGTAGCTGTTACTTTGAAAACTTCCGCTTCATAACATCACAAGGTGGAAAAGAAAAATATGAAATGTTACTCAAAACATCCCTAACTAAAACACAACTCTAGATATGTTTTTGAGGTAACAACATTATAACATGGCTTAAAGCTCACAAGAGTCAGTTTTGCAAAATATAAGACATTTATTATTAGTCTGTTTACATCTCCAAATCTCAAAATGCTCTGTTCCACCTTGTGATATCATGTAGTGTTAGTTTTCAAATTAACAGCTACATTTTACCTTTTGTTAAATAGAGATTGGTGATTCCTGGACTGAAATTATCCAAATGATAGTGAAGGTGTGTGGAGTTTTCAGTTTGAGAGAAGCACTCAGCCTAAATATGCAGAATTTGTGTGTTAAACATGTGTAAATGAAACAAAACCCAAACCCAGGTACGTTTGTGATGAGGAAACAACATTATAACGTTGATAAGAAAATAGTGTAATATGGGCCTTTTAACAGCTATCACTGAATAGAGTTTGGATACAGTTGGTTAGGAGGTGGATAAAATGTAAATGTGGTACTGGTATCTCAGTGACGGTTGCCGCGGTGACCTGTGGGATAAGGTCAACTGTGGGAGACGAAAGAGGGAAAACACCTGGACAAAGTTTTATCTCACAACACGAGATTAACACTCTTTATAACCAGTGTGTTAAGTACAATTTAGTTTTTAAATCGAAAATTTCTTGTAACTGAATATCACAATTTATATACAGTCATACACACTGTTTTGTGCAAAAGAAAAAGCTCCCAGATTTTGAGTTTACATTTGGGAGTTCCAAAGAATTGTCGTGCAGATCAATTTTTTGCACGCAGTCACAACTTTTTTTGGATGTGCATGTCTCTATCTACCAGTATTTTTTCATAATATTGCCCATGAACTCACACAAAAATGCTTATATAAAAGTCTTCATTTGAATATCTGATTTATTTATTTATTATTTTTTAGATAAAATACTCAAATTAGTACTATTGATGGTTTTCAGATTGTACAATGTGATGATGTCATGGTCCCACATGGAGGCAAGTGCAAATTTTTACAACTGGTTAAATTTTAGAAATAAAAATGGACAAACATTGAACCAGATTTAGCATTATTTATTTTATCTGCTTCCATCTGTATTAAATATTATTGCCTGGAACCTGAAAGTAGTCATTTGAATGGGCCTCGATTAGTGTTTATTCTATCAAATCCAAGTTTTAATTTTGAAATAAGAAGTTAATTACAGTAAATGTTTTCCAAATTATAGCAATTAAAGAAATATTATATTAAATTTGCATGTGCAATTTCATACTTACAAAATTCAACCAGCAGGTACTTGTTCTCACTCAGAGCTCTTTCAAAATTGTTAATATGCAGCACCATCACATCGTTCTCCTCTTCAATCTCCGTAGTTTTTTCTTTCTTCGCCTCCTCCACTTCATCCTCTCTGGACTCTTCGCTCGTTTCCTCGCTTCCTTCCTTGAGAGCCTCCTCGGGTGCCTCCTTGGGTGCCCCCTCCTCCTCGGCCCGGGTGCAGGACGCCCAGAGGAGCAGGCCCAGCAGAGCGGCGGTCAGCAGAGTGGATGTCCTCATGTCCTCACCTAGTTCTCAACACCTGGAAAGACTAGTACACGTGGACCAGAGTCACTAAACAGCTTTAAGTATCCCATGTCCAGAGTGTGTGTCGAAATCTCACTGGCCTTCCCCCTTCAGCCAATCACACGCCGGGTCCGTGGAGGATGACCGAAGATCTCAGCCAGTCACATGCTGCCTTGTAGATGTTGTGTTGAATGATCACACGTACTTCTTATTTTCTGTTTACGCGGATTTGCATATTTATCACAGTCAGTCCAGTTACTAACCAGTCAAAAGTTTGGACACGCCCTCTCATTCAATGTTTCTTTTTCTGTATTTTTCTATGTTCGACATTTGATATACAAACAGAAAATATCAAATATGAAATATGATGTATGGAATTATGTAGTTAAACATATATATTTTTTTATTTTATAACCAAATCCTCAAATTAGCCACCCTTTGCACTGTTGAGTTATTTGAAGATGCATTGTGTAACTTTTCTGGTAGAGTCCATCACCTGCTTGTTTCAATGGATATATAATTTCTCTGCATAGAATGTTCCACGGTATGACATTAAACAGCTCTACTTTACATTTATTCAATTACAGGTGGTTTTATAGCTTAAAAACAACTACAAAAACAGGCATTCTGACTGTGCGCGGGGTCACCTCTCCACAGATCTGACTTGTAACTCGGTCTGGTTTAGTCGTCCTGATGATAGAAAGGTTTAATACCATACTGAGAAAAGCATTTAGCGGATCCTCCACCAGAAAAGTGACACAATGCACCTTTTTTTCTTCACTAAGTAATTACATATGTCTTGTTTCGTATATTTAATGTCTTCCGTATATCAAATGTAGACAGATGAACAAGAGAGTCCAGACTTTTGACTGGTAGAGTACATTCCGTTTATAAAAGCTCACCTTTGAATGAGTTTATAGTGCTTTATCATGAAATGGTTTCCCTGTGGTGTGGAGAGTGGTGGCATGGCTGTTGGTCTATCTCTGCCCCATCTCTATTGACTTACAGCAAACAGCTTTTCTGCATAACCCACGCCCTCCTGCAAATACAAATACACAGTTATAAGATATGCCAACTGTACACATAAATGGTTATTAATACCTGAAATGACAGAGTAACCGACTGGTAATATAATAATGATAGTGTAGATACAAGAGAATATTTATGTAACAGACATTCAAGAATTCTTCGGCTGGTTCTGAATCAGGTAGGGGCCTAAGATGCAGTCCCTATCACTCATTTTAAAATATCTTTGGGATTTTTTGCCCTAACAACATGAAAATTGGCACTGCACACACCTGTACCATTGGGATGACACCCTCCAAATTTGAGGTCAGTTGGATGAGCAGTTTGAGAAGTATGCGTGGAACAGACAAACAAACAAACAAACCAACAAAGACAGACAGACGCTCCTTGAATTAATACATAGATCACTCATTTTTCCAGATCTTTGGGATTTTTTGCCCTAACAAGACACCTGTGCCATTAGGATGACATCCTCCGAATTTGAGATTGGTCGGATGAGCCATTTGAGAGTTATGCGTGAAAAAGACAAACAAACAAACAAACAAACAGACACACAGACAGACACTCCTTGAATTAATTGATAGATCACTCATTTGACCAGATCTTTGTGATTTTTTGCTTTAACAACATGAAAATTGGCACTGCACAAACCCGTAGCATTGGAATGATACCCTCAAAATTTGAGATCAGTTGGATGAGCAGTTCAAGAGTTATGCATGGAACAGACAAACAAACAAATCAACTCACAGACAGATGTTCCTTGAATTACCAGCTAGATATATCACTCATTTGACCAGATCTTTGGCATTTTTTGCCATAACAACATGAAAATTGGCTCTGCACACATCCATACCATTAGGATGACACTCTCCAAATTTGAGATCAGTCAAATGAGCAGTTTGAGAGTTATGCATGGAACAGACAAACAAACAAACAAACAAATCAACAGACACATAGACAGACGTTCCTTGTATTAATAGATAGATGGGGTATTAACTGCTATTACATAACATATTTAGATCACCATGTTACTTTTTATTGTTCTGAAAATCCTATATTCGCCCTCTGCACTCTATTTGCTCTCTGTGTTAAGTCACTCCCCCTTCAGAGCACTCTCAATCTCAACGCAATGCATCCCACTCATTAAACTACTGCACGTCTCGTCAGGTTTGTTGAGATGTGTAAAGTTTTGTATCATGTTTTTGCATTTTTTATATTGATTTCAGTTGAATTAATATAAGGATCAGCATAGAAGCAGAGTAGACAACAAGAGTGACAGCTTTGTACACAAAAAACTCATTTAGCATCATTAAGTTTTTAAAGTTATCATTATTATTGTGATGCAACTTTTTCTTTTTGATTATTTCAAAGGGTAAACACACTCCCTACATTATTTCCTAGTATTTTTTCTGCATGAATGAGTAAAATAATTAAAAACTTTGGTCTTAAGACACATGAACAGAGGTGGGTAGTAGGTTGTTAAATCAGCAACTATAAAAGTTATAGTTAACTTATTAAAGAAATAGTACTTTTCAGAGTACTTTAACAGCAACATACAGCAACAGTACTCTTACAAAACTAAAGGTTGTTCACTCTTCTCAAGGTGAGCAAATCTACAAGTGACAAGGTTTTATGTTGACAATATGAAATGATTTGAACTTTTGTGTTTCTTGCACTACTCCGTCAGATCAGATTTAGTTTTTCAAATTTTTGTACCAGAGTAGTTTTCTCAAATCCTGCTTTATTTCTTTGAGTTTACAGTGAAGTAAATTATTACAACAAAAAGTAAAATCAAACAACCAGTCACAAGCAGCAGTAAATAATGGACAGCTTCTAGTTTAGCAGTGATCCGTGTGTTTACATATCTGATGGGTCAACAGAGCACCACGGGCTGTTTACATTAGCAGATCATAAAAGACATTGTCAAATCTTAACTACTTGTTTAATAGAAATAAACTGATACAAGAATGTTTCCTAGTTTTAAGTTAACCATATAAATAAATAAATAAATAATAAAAAAGATACATTAAAACAAATGAATAGACTATATCTGTAGTGTCATTACTTTTAAAGCAAAACCGACTCTTTAAGTCATGTTATAATTTTGTTACTTCATCAAAAACAGACCTGGAGTTGTGTTTTGTTTTATTTGCACGTCTAGAGTATTCCTGCATTATTAGTCTGTCTACATCTCCAAACCTCAAAATGCTCTATTCCGCCTTGTGATGTCATGAAGTGGTATTTTTCAAGTTAACAGCTATCGTTTACCTTTTGTATAGTAGAGACTAACAGTTACTGGACTAGAAATTGTCTAAATGGCATCCTGCCAAGGTGTATGGAGTTTAAAAACACAGTGGAGCACTTCCTGTATGACCACATGATCTCACAAGGTGGAACAGAGTGTTTTTTGTTTGACAGAAGATCTCAGCCTAAATATGCAGGGTTTGTGTGTTAAACATGTGTGAATGAAACAAAACACAACTCCAGGTCTGTTTTTAACAAAGAAACAACATTGTAACATAAATTGCAAAATAGTGTAATATGGGCTCTTTAAGCTGTCAGCCTCTCACAGTTGTACAAAACCAATAGTTCTTAGTGGATGCAGCATTCTATATATGTAAGAGCAGAGCTCAGTGCTGCATGTGTGTGTGGTCGTCAGTCAGGGGCTCGGGGGGCTCAGGGTGGGAGTCCCAGAATGCGAGCAGGTCACTGAAGTCCATCTGGGCCCCATCTAGGTGGTGTGTGTGGAGGGGCTGTTCTTGGTCTTGCTGGGGCTTCTCACAGTCGGGTATCACACCTGGTCCAGGCTCAGTCCAGAAGCTCAGAGGCAGGAGTCTCTTGGTCATGGGACGGCCCTGACTCAGACCCTTTTGGTCAAACAGTTCAGCCAGGGGCCCCAAACTGCTACCTTTACTAACACTCTGTTCATCTTCACAGGGCTTGGACCTAGCACTCTCTCTTTCCTCCGCACCCCCTCCTTTGGCTATTTTAAGTAAATCGTCATAGTAACGCAGACGCCCGCTGGTCGTTAAGGACACAGAGTCATTGTAGATGTCACAGGAGTCTTGGTCACCACAGCTGTGGCCAAAATATCGCTGGATGTCACGACTAATAAGATCAGCAAATCGCAGCAGCTGATTGGTTACATCAAGTGTGGTGGAGGCAGGCTCTGAGAACATCTCCTCCTCTTCCTCTTCCTCCTGGAGCTCCTCTTCCTCATCACGCTCCTCGCTCTCGTCTGGATGCAGATTTGTCTGCTCCTCATCTGGGTCAGTGTGAGGAGAGGACTGGAACATCAGGGGGAAATATCCTGCTGGCTGGACCAGGAAACCGCGGATCACACCTGTCGCCATGACAAGTTCTACAAAAGATAGTTATTAAAAAGCACATAATGAAATATGTTTTGGGAGTGCTATTGTTATTTGTCATTCTCATTACAATTAAAATAACATTTCTATTACTATTTCTGAGTGCAAAATATTGCAATAGTTTGACCACCCTGTTCAAGTTCCCGACACAGCCTCGTGCTCTGAGTTGAATATTTGACTCAACTTAAACAATTATTTTAACAAACAGATTAGAGATCACATAATTACATCATTTGTATCTGTAAAAGTAGTTTTTCCTTCTCTTGAGGTCTATTACAGTAAACTGAATGTGTGTTGAATGTAACACTCTAAAGCCATGTAATGAGCTCTGCCAGTAACAGATAGTTCTCTATCTTAGTCCAAATAGTGATCATTATCTTTAGGGGAAAAAATACAAAAACACGAGTCTACAGCATGTTTCCTAATCCAAATGCACTACATACACAGACTATAAATATAAATTCAAAAGTTGTACTGAAGGTTACATTACCTGGCCTGTCCGGTCCGGTCCAGTGGGGCTGGTGTCTCTGATGGAGTGTGTGTGTGCATTTATATCGGGCCCATCCTGCTGTGTGTGTGTGTCAGCTGACCAGGCTTCCAGGACAAATATTGAAATATTTGTGCATCTCATTGTCCAAACATATTGTGTTGACTTTATCGCCGGGCAACGCAGGAGGGGTGGTCCCGCTAATGGAGCTGTGCTAAGACACGCTGGAGGGTGTGTGCACACGCACACGCGCCCACCACAGGCCCTTCCGCTCACGTTATCAGGCCTGTTTAAAGAGAAAAGAGCGTGAAATGAAATCATATGCTGTTTTGACTTCTAAAGGGGGGCACTCGGGGGAGCAGAGAGCTTATGTACTCAGAACAGAAGGAAGAACAGCCTCAAGTCAACTAACAGAGCAATTAGCACAGTTAGCGATTATAGAACTAATGGGCTAAACAATAGTAAATAATAAAGTCTTTCTTACATATACATTCTACTGTAGAGAAAAAACAGTTGTTAAGTCCATTTAACAATTACAGATTCATTTTGTAGCAAGACCAGATAGAGATTAAATGCCTCTTGATAGGTAAAATGTTATAGTTTTAAAGACTTCTCAGCCCAAGATCTAAAATTCCTATCTTAAAAGTGTTTTCATGTACTTCCCAAAAGCCCTATCCTGATGGCACCATTTCTAGTTCCTTAGCACCCAGGTTTTTACTTTGATAAAATTATAAAATATTCTTTTGTACACTTTTAACTTTTTATTCTTATTTGACATAAATCTCTTGCTGTTTCTGATAATTATTTTGAATGTTGGACCATTTATATTTCTTTGCTCATTGTTATAATATTGTGATGTTCGAGCTAGTCTGATATGAATTCATAGGGAAGTCAAATCTCTGACAAACATATTCAACTATTTTATTTAATCTGAAATAATTTGTTAATAATTGTGAATGGCTGTTTTAGGTCATAGATGCCCTTAATCTCAACAATATAGAGGCCACTACGTGGTCTGCTCTGTGGAATTAACAGGCCTATGGGTACCTTTGTCACTGTTTATATTACCTAGTATAGGTTAAGCTAAACTTGAAGACCTTTACTCAATAAGTAACTCACAACAATATCTACTGTTGTTTCTTTAGGCAGGACAAATACAGTCTTATGGCTATTTCTTTCTAGCCAGGCTGGCGCTACCTAGTGCATCCACTCAATTTAATTTCTCTCCAGTATCTAGGTCAGGAATTGGAATACACTAGACGGTTTGCAAAACCCCCGGAAGTTGTAGACCACGCACCGGCCAATCAGCGAAGAACTGAACCAACTGAGTTACGATAGCAGACTGCATACACCATTCTCCTTTGGACTTCCTTTGTCAAATACAAACTTTGCATTTTTTATTGTACCTTTAATTTGCAAGTTCATCTCACAGACACAACAACGGTCGTTGACAGACATGTTCACTCTCTGCTTTGTTTGCTGTTGTGCCGGCAGATACTTGGACACCACTGAGGATTCCGACGGCTTACATACGTCACAACCCAACAGCAGCAAGTGGTTAAACAAAAAAAAGTACCCATCTACCATCAAGCGAACGAATTCTAATGCAGATGCTCAGACGGTTTCCACGAAGTGAAACCATCAGGCTAAATCAGGCTAATTTCTTTCTAATCCTCTGGTCAAACCCTTATCTTTAAATAGGGGGTATATGACTTCTGTGGGGTATAAACTGCTAACACATAACAGGTTTAGATCAACATGTTACCTTTTAATATTTTGAAAATGTTATATTTGTTGAAAACAATGTATTAACATTTTTATAAATTTCACTTTTGTTTTTGATGCACTGAGACTTCCCTACCTTCAGACCGCTGTCACAACAAAATCAGTGTGCATCCTTCCTTAATGAAACTTCTGCACATCGTATCAAGTTTGTGAAATTGTTGTGTGCAGTTTTTGTATCACACTTTTGTATATTTATGGAGAATTGCCGTATGGGGCATGGGTGATGTAGGACTGAGTATTGGACAGAATCTTACAGCTAACCTTAAGAAGGGTTCAAGGGAGAGATCTCTACTTTACTCAAACGTGCATGGATGACATTTAAAATCCCTTTCGGCATGTTTTGATGAGGGAATGTTATACCATAGTAGAAAGCTAAAAAACAACAACACAGTTTTGCATTAAACAAAACTTTAGCATATTAGTGGTACCTGTTGTCCTGTGGCGCTGACATATGTAGGTGTACATGTGTTATCAGGGCTAGCCGCCGCTGTCCTCAGTTTCCAGGCTTCTGTGTTGATTCAGGCCTAAAGATCAATAGAAGCAATATGTTAGCTCTCAAGAGGCTAACAATGAATTACACACGCTTTTAGGCACACGAGCACATGGACACACGCACCAGTGTACACAGACACATTTATGAGTTTACATCACAAAGTACACTTCGTAATGTCTTACCAAAAAAAAAAATAGTGGCGAACAGTGGACCTGGACACTGGGCCTTCACTAGGAACAATTACTGGCTATCATGACATTTTTAGGAGGGCACATAGGCCAAAATGATAAATACATATTATAAATATATGTATTATATATAGGCTATATCGTATTATAACGAATGCCAGAAACAGACAGTCATTTTGGTCACTATTGGTTAAACTATATCTATATCAGAGCACAACTCACAGCCAAGCGCAAAGATTACGCAACCTAATCCACCGCTCACACCCAGCCCCAACAACGTCAGCAAAACTACAATAAGATAAGAGGCTACGGTCACAACATGAACACATGGCATCAGCGCAGCTCCTACAGCACACGAGCAACCGGAGCAGCTCCAACCGGAGAAGCACCCACGAGCTCATTTACGCACTATTTAACTATTAACACTATTTAACTATTAACAGTATAACACTATTTACCTGTGAGGCTCCGCCCGCAGATTTCCCCAAAACTAATGAAAACAAGCCTCTTACCATCTCCAGAGGACTGATGCAGAGTATATCCTCTATCCACTGTCCTGTTGGTTCTGTCGCCAATACGAAGAGATCAAACTGGTCCAAGTCCAGTCAAGTCCGCGACACAAGGTCCGGGCACGAGCTGGTTGTAAAACTAGTCTTAATCTCACATAAATCTAAAAGTTAGAGCCAGTCCATATTAGCACTAGGGCACCAGGTAGATTTAAGCCCTCTGCTACGCCCACTCTACTTTTATACCCAGAAACGAGCTGGCAGAGCCCCAGCCCCGGCAGAGACTGCACAGGGTCCCAGCACCGACAGCGGGTGCTGCTCCCCTCGCGCACTCCTCTGTGGAGGCATAAGCTAAAGTCGCTAACCGCCATTAGCCAGTGTGTGAATCAAAATAAGAGCTGTAGGATTTCACCGCAGCCAAATGCACTCATTTCAGCTTAATGCTTCTTTTCTTGCTTGGCAGAAGGATCTCGCTGAAGAGAAGACATATTACTCCCTAAAAATTGTTCCTCGAACGCACTTTGACTTGAAGTTGAACTCGTCCTAACTCCTATAACACACAGCTCTGTTGTTTAATAGATCCATGGTTGTTATCCATTCATTAGCCTGTAGCAGTAACACACCGTCAGTGGGCGGGACAGAGCGAGCAGAGAGCGATTAGCACTCATAACTCAATGAAATATGATTGGCTAAGACAACTGTCAATCTCAAACTCATCCCCCACATTGACTTGAATTGCACGGGTCTTCATTCCAGCCACCAAAGGCCCTGCAGGTGTTTCTTTAGTTCAATGCCTGCAGGAGGAGTCACTGATTTACCCAGATACCACTAGAAGAAAAATTGTGATTGGTCCATTTCCATTCCATTATATTACCCTTTGTTTCCCAAGAAACATTAGTCCAAGTTTCTAACAATGATCTAGAAATTATTACTAGTGTGGTGTTTATTACTCACTGAATAAAAAATATTGAAAAAATATATTATATAATATAATAGATTTTTTCTTGGGCCTTCACTGAATACCTTGAAGGCCCTGAGGGTTCCCATCTGACTCCAGTTATGTTTTTGAGGAGGTAACAACATTATAACATGACTTAAAGCTCACAAGAGTCAATTTTGCAATAGTAGAAAACATACCTGCAGTGTCTACAACAATTTGGATCTTATGGTTGTAAAAGGGCCGGTAACAGTGGGATGTCCTTGATGAGACAGCTCATAAGCTCCTCTGGACTGGGGCAGACCTTGTACACCTCAGTTGCTAGGCTCAGGAGCAGATGGTCTTTGGGAGAGCTCACCGGACTCTGTTCAGAAACCTTCGCACAAAAGGAAAAAGTATTTTGTTTAGGTTTAAGTATTTACCCTCTTTCACTTCTTATATTTTTTTCTATGAATGAAACAGAATTTAACAGCTTTAGTCGATTTTAAAGCACTAGTATATGCATTAAACCTTTGAAATATGAAAGTAAGCAAAATAGTCCTATCATAATTTTCTTGTACTATAGAAATTAAGGTTTTGTATGTATGGT